CCGATCTCACTCACCAAAAAGTGGCCGCACCATTTCTGAAAGTCCCGTGGCCACTTCTGAAAGTGGTGCGGCCACTTTCGCTGGCGGCCCCGCTCCCTGGCCAGCGCTTGCTGGGGGGGAGGGGGGCATTGGTGCTCCCACCTGCCCCCCTGCCCACTGGCTAAACAGGGAGTGTGGCCTGACAGGGGGTGCACCGGTGCTCTCAGGGGGTGCATGTGCACCCCCGTGCACTCCCTATGCATTGCCCCTGCTTCTGGTAGGTTCCCATCAGCAGCTCAGCCTTTTTGGCTAAGAGCAAATGTAAGATGAAGAGGCTTTTCCCCCCGTGCTGATTGGGAGGGAAAAACCTTCTCTTATATTCAAGTAAAGCATCTCTTATATTCAAGTAAATATGGTATATGTAAAGGAAACTCCAAAATAAATGTAAGAACTTATGCAAAAATCACAAATCTAAAATTCAAACTTTTGAGCACGTTCTACTAAAATTATAATGGAATTTCATATGACATAGAAAAGGAAATTAATTGCATGACAATTTATACAAAACCTAAGCTCTACTGCCAAACAGTTGGAAAAAATCAAGGTTGGGGGAAAAAATAAAGATAACTGTTTTCTGGATATTGTCAAGACTGGTATACTACTATTCTTGTTACTTAACTAACATTCCAGAAAAGCTACAGCTGAACATTACAGACTATAAGATCAGAACCTTTCTTAGTTTTATGCATGACTGATACTTGCAGCTTATTTGCACCCTCTTTAAAATTATTGTTATAACATCTAATGTATTACGACATCACTTCTCATCCCTGAAAGTTTACAAGGACTAAGCACTGGTACACTATACACAATTACAACTAAAACAGAATAAAATTGTCTTCCTAAGTGATTTATACTAAATTTAAAATGATAATCTATTTTAAGCATATATGCAATGTACATATTAGGCTGCACCCATTTAGCAAACTTCATAGCCTTACAATGCAATCTATCCCATTAAAATCTTACTTAATGCAATAGTTTCTCCTCTATAGATGATATGGTAGCAATTAGAAACATGCTCACTGGCAAAGGAACTTCCCGTGTCTAGTTTGAGTTCTCTTATATGGACAATTAAACAATGAGCTAAAAGTAGTCCCTCTCATAGGCAATGTACCAGAAAGGGAAGACAAAATTAAAAAAGGTATTGTATTACAGGAAGCAGGCTGACAAAGTGCCAGAAAGGACATTTTGTTTGGGTGCCCAAATCCAAATGAATTTAGTATCACAATCAAAGTACGTGGACTCCGATGTAACTAAAGTCTAGCACAACCCAATGTTTTATTCATCAATGCCTGTAAATTTAGCAGCTCATTGAGCTAACTGTCTGAAAGGACATGGTTGAGAGAGAAGGCATCTGAAATTATATCTGACCTGAAGGTGGTATTTTCACACAACACTCATTTGAGAAGTGTGTCCTTGATGAATAACTGCATGTCCATTTGGTACATGTTAAATAAATCAGTTTTTTAAAAACAGAACAACGCCTATTTTTTTAAGATTTTCAAAATACTTCACAGGGAAATGCATAAAAAAAAATCTCTTTCAAAGTTCAGTTTCAAAGAAGCTAGAAAAAATTAATGCCTTAAAAGCTGTTTTTGGCCTTTGGACACAATGCTCAATGTATTTACCTTTCATAAAATATGAAAATATTATAAAATAATTTCTGAGGAGTCTTTTGCCATGTATGGAATTATAATTAAGGGTGAAGTACCTAAGAACACCAGAATCCCACTGTACATTCCAATCTATGGCATAGATCACCAGTCTACTTTCCATCATACTTTTCCTATACAAGACATTTCATGGTTCTCTTTACCCTTCCTGTCAATGGCTGCTCTCATCCATCAGTTTCATTTAGAATTATACTATAGATCAATGCAGTTCAAGACCAATGTGGCTCCCATGAATGGTTGACTGCACATATATTCATTTAATAGAGCTCACACTATG